GGGGAGGTTGAGGCTCGTATCAGGCCTCTGAATTTAAAAAAAAATCTTTAAAAACCAAACATTCTTCCTGCTCTATTTTGTTTCAGTCACTTGTAGAGGACCAAGAAATCCATTTTCAAAATGACCAGTGTCCTTTTTAGGGATTCATTTGTACAGCAGTTATGCTATGGATGTAAACATGAGTCACACCTGCTCTAACGACTATCTGTCCAAGACAATCACACGTACTAGCAACCACTTCCCATGCCCCCCCCCCCCTTTTTGTGTTTAAAAATGTTATAGTGACACAAAGTACGAGTAAACCACTTCTTACCTCGATGATGGCCGTCTCGGACAGTTTAGACTGTACTTCAACATGATGCAACATACACTGTTGGAATGAGCCCGCGATTCTCGGTAATATTGGTCTAGAGTCATTGTTCCTTCTTCTCGTCTTTTTTCCTGCTGTCTGTCAGTTTTTCTTTTGCCATTGACTAAATGGCGGTTATCGCATCGATGTACTTCTCGTTACTCAAACTTTCACTGGCACTGCTGTCGTAATGACTTGTCTGGGCGCACCAGTGCGGGTGGTTGGAGGGCCCCGCTGGTACGTCCTACTTTTGTTTCTTTCCCTCCGTCGTGTCTGTCTGTCTGTCTGTCATGCTTTTTCCCCCTGCATTGAATGACCGTTATCGCAACTATGTGGTACCCCCCCCCCCCCCCCGGGCAGTGCTGCTGACTGAAGTGTCTTTTGGTTAGGCCATTCCCAAAGGGTGGATATTAATATGTTTTCATGCACAGTAGAATTGTAAATGAGCTGAGTTATCAATGTTGTGCTCATACTGTGCCGGAACAACATAAGGGGAACTATTGCTTTTTCTTTCCTCATCCTTACCATATGTATATCGTCAATTTCCATCTACTTTTATATGTTGGTCACTCTCTTGTGAACTGCTATTTCCGGGGTGCCTTGATAGTCGAAACAGACTTTGTGCTGTTGAGGCTAAAGAGGTGAGGAGAGTAAGTCTGATTCCCTGTTTGGACTTCTCTGTTGACATCCGCCCCTAGGCGCTCGTATGACCTTATGCAGTTGCGAGCGCCTTAAAACCTTACTAAAACAAAGCATCTATAATGTGCTTTTCTTAAAACAACAAAAATAAACAAACAAACAAATAAACAAGCACTTCGGTTTCTGCGATGCAATGGTTCGGCTCTAGCTCTTGTTCTCCTAAGACGTAACAGGTGGTTGAAGTGTGTCTTTGGTCGGCCTTACTCCCTACTTTTTCCTTGAGGCTATATGTACCTGAAAAATTGATGTTGTGGTGGGTAGTTATTGCTTTTCTTTTCTTTTTTTTTACTTCCCCCTCTGTGTGTTGCTTCTGTCTATCGATCCAGCTTTTGCGTATCTCAAAATGACCGCGCAGGCGGATGTGGGAGCTTTTTTTTTAGGGGGGGGGCACTGGTAGGACCAACTTCTCTTCCTTTCCTCTGTTGTGTCTGTCTATCTGTCTCGTTTCTTTCCTGCGTGCACTATATAAGCGACTCAAAATCAAACTTAAACTCCCAACTCGAAACGACCGCTATTTTATATGTGTGTTTCTATTTCTCCATCTACAAACACAAGCCCGATCCCAGCGCGGTGACCCTTTAAAAAAAAAGAGTATCCCCGTCTTTGTGCTGTGCTGTGCTGTTGATGTCAAGTATTCCACACCGCCTAGATTTGTAAGCTCTCAGAAGAATCGGATCTAAAGTGCGTCGCTTGGGGCGTAAAACTTGTTATGTTGTCACAATCAATCGCTTTTCTTTGCGCGAGGCTTCGGATGATGTGTACCGCCGACCATATCCGCCAAAATCCACCAAAATCCCTCTTGTATACCAAAATAATTCAAACCAAATTGCGAACATGGCTGACGAGAGGAGATTGCGCCTTAAAAGTACAGAGTAGTCAGGTTGTGAAATGAATTTACCCCCCACACACACACACAAACACCACCAACGACACAACGAACGAAGCATGAAGTGTTGACGATAGGGTTGGTTGAACGTATCACCTGGTTCAAGGATTATTTCAAAAAGAAACTGTGTGTCCTAAAAAAAATCTACCAATATAAAGTAGATAAAGCTGAGGTGGACCGGATCGGCCATGGGTCATAGGCTCATAGCTCTTAAGGAACGTTGATATAATTATAATATGCATTATAATGTTATTTTATATTAATTCTATTCTATTCTATCCTATTCTATTCTACTATATTCTATT